ACTTTAATATCAATAGTGTGCTTAAGTAAAACTATAACATAGTTTACTTTAATCTGCTAAAGGATAAAGTTTTCTTGGACTATTTGGTCTGCTCCTGATAAGAGAGTGTGAAAGGTTTTCTTTATCCTTTAAAGTAGTCTGCCTAGAAAAAACCCCAAAGATCTTGTGTCTTGTCAAAATAATCACCTATGGTTAGATGGGTACTAGACTTATGGGGGGATCACCTTGTAGGTGATCACCTTGTAGGTACTACTATGCTGTATGCCTGAAACTAATATAATATTGAATGTCAACTGTAATAGAAAAAACAAAACAAAAAATATCCATGTTCCATGTTGTCTTTATCAGGTCTTTGATGACTTAAGTAAATCTCCTAACTAACCTAGTCCTCTCAATATTAAAATGTTTTTATTCATTTTTTTTGAGAGAGAGAGGAAGGGAAAGAGAGATAGAAACATTGATGTGAGAGAGAAACATCGATTTGCTGCCTCCTGTATGCCCTGCACTGGGGATTAAGCCCACAACCCAGGCATGTGCCCTGACTGGGAATTGAACCAGGACCTCTCAGTCCATGGGATGACTCTCAATCCACTGAGCCACCCCAGCTGGGCAAGTCTTCTCAATATTAAAAAAGGTAAGTTTTGCTCAGAACTATGTAACCATGTAAATTTGCCTGTAAAGTCTTTCATTTTCACTTTGGTTAAATAGATTAGTATTGCTTCACAGTGAGCTATGATCCTATTTAACATAATGTTTTAAACATTTTTGGGGGGGTATTTTTGACAAACTTCCACCAAATAAAATCCTAAATGAAGATTTTTTTGACCTTGAATTAACTTTGGGATTTTCCAGAGGGTCCCTCTAACATCTCAAAAGATTTGTTCTCTCCTTATAAAAAAGGAGACAAACTAATTAGGTTTATTTGATATGTTAAGTCATAAGGGAAGCATTGTCAAATACGAAGTAGTACTAAGCCTTCCTTATGTTGTATCTGAATGGGTATAAGAGTTCCAGAAATTGTGTGAAATCCTTGGAAATCTGCTATGTCCTGGTGTAATGTCACCGGTCACAATTCCAGCTATCATCTTAAATTGTTGTACATTACAGAAATAACCAAAATTTCTTGTTAAATCCAATATAATGAACTCTTATTAGCTATTTATTTATTTATAATCCTCATCCGAGGACATTTTTCCATTTTTTGTTCAGATAGAGTGGGAGGGAGGGAGGGAGGGGTAGAGAGAGAGAGAGAGAGAGAGAGAGAGAGAGAGAGAGAGAGAGAGAGATGGACGTGAAAGGGACACATCGAGTGGTTGCCACCTGCATGACCCAACCAGGGCCAGGGACAAACTACAACTGAGGTACGTGCCCTTAGCAGGAACTGAACCCGGGTCTCTCTGGACTGCAGGCTGAAGCTCTAACCGCTGAGCGAAACTGGCCAGGGCTTATTAGCTTTTTAATAATGGGCATTTTACAAACCCTCTGTCATTTACACAGAGCGCTTTTGTAAAAGTGTTCCTGCAAAAGTGCTTCTTCTTCTTCAAGGAGATTCATGGAGAGAACATTGACAAGTACAGTTTTCTGATAACTTTAAGATCTTAATATGCACTGGGTAAGAATTTCTGGAACTAGCAGAAACACTGGATTCAAGCAGAACAAGAATCAACAGGACTGAATGAAACGAGGAGGAGGATTATAATTTTTATGACTTTTCGTTTGAAGCATTGTTGGTTCTCTAATGGTTTGCTTTGCCAGATTTAAGGACATATTCTCCCCCCCCCCTTAAATTATCAATAATTTGGTAAGACATACCTATGTGAACAAAGATGAAACATTTACTTTTTACTCCCTAACTATCCCTCCAGAATCGTGAAACTCTTGAGTATTTTTTTTTATGACGATATAGTTAGATTTTTGCATAAATTCAATGAGAATCTATTCTTGTAACAGGAAACAGTGGGAAATATTGGTTATATTACCAAGGCTCTGACTAGAATGTCATATTTGAGAAAAATGTGCATAGACTCAGATATGACCAGATGATTTTAAGGCCACTAAATCCCCTTGGAAAAAGTGGCCTGGTACCTTGCTTACTAAGTTCCAGTGAAGCAATCATTATTCTTGCTGTACTTATGTAAATAATCAGGCCAAGTCTAATGCAAACAAATTAGTTTTGCTGTGATTACCTTTGGAAAAAAGAAATGGGGATAACTGTGGGGAGAGAAACTTTGTTTGCATCTTTGTCTGTATTGGATTCTAATCCTTGCCACTAACCACGCAAAGTTAATTGTCTTTGAGGTTTTGTTATATACCTGTAAGGTGGACCGGATCTTAAATTCTGCTAGTTTCCTAAAAAATTTGGCTACAAGTATCCAAATAATGTCTCAAATTTTCTCCCACTCTCTGGTTTGCAATCACTAAGAACAAGACTGCTGTTAACTCTTCTTGGAAAGTACTACACCAGGTCCTCCTCACTACCCAGATGGCCGGCAGGCTTCAGGGACTCAAGTCCACTTATGAACACAGCGCACAGCTAAAGAAGGCTCCACCTGACATCTGGTCCGGTACACATGCTGGAGACTTCCACATCACATTGATTAGTAAAAGAACGAGCTGTCGTCGATGTAGACTGGTTCCAAGACTCCAGGTCAAGACTTCATACTTCAACCAAACATGAAACCATCTCTGCTCTCTCTTTCCTTTACTTTGCATTGGCCTGGAAATATGACTCCATAATCCATATCTCCCAGGACATTGCTAAGGGGAGTAACCTCTGGAATGTGGAACAACATTTTATTTCAGGCTAAGAGATTTACTTCCAGAATGCCCTGAAAACCTAACTGACCCCTGGGTTGAACAGGCAAGTATAACAATCCCTGTGAATGAACCCATTAAGAGTGTCACCTCGGTGGAAGTGGTTTGTGCCCTGACGGGATTTGTCTCTGTCTGTGGTGGCTGTCATTTTCCTTGGGCCTATGAATGCCTAGATCGCTGGGCAATGCCTGTTAGGTTATCTAACTGTGCCCCTAAGTGTTTATAAACAACAAGACACTTCATTGGTGAACTCTGTGTTGAGTTAGAAAGGATCTACCAGAAGAAGTTCTTAACTCAGGATTCACTTCCTTTGGCAGGGCCTACTCCCTGGTTAGGAGGAAATGTAAACGAGGTTAGGGTTAGAAACCTCTCCTAAACTCTTAAAGATATAGCAGAATCCATTGCTAAGATGACAGCTGCCCAAGAAAAATCCTTAGGCTCTCTGGCCAAAGTTGTTCCTGATGATAGTATCCTTATCATCTTCTAGCTGAGCAGGAAGGTGTCTCCGTGCTGGGGCCAACACCACCTACTGCACCTGCATGAACTCTTCTGAGGCAGCTGAAACTCAGTTACATACGATTACTGAGCAGGCCACTTGGCTTAGAAAGGTGATCCCTTCAATGTGGACTTCCTTTGACTTAATTTGATTTTGATTGGTTTAGGTCTTGGGGACCATGGCTCCAAAGTGCACTCTATTATCCTTTTTGTAATAGTCATAGTAGTTCCCCTGGCATGCTGTATTCCCTCAAAAGCTTAAAGAGCATGTTTGCGGCCACTAACCAAGCGGGTGATCTCCCTAGGACTGGAACACCTGAAGAGGAAGGAAGGGGGCGAATGACTTCAAAACTGTGACCCCGAATTTGTGGCCTGTGAATATCACAGAGATTCAGAAAAATAAAGTCATGACCTGTGACTCACCCGGAGGATCAGTGAAAGCTGCAAGAAGTACAGAAAAGCTGAGAGTGGTTAATGCCTTCAAGTTTGACCACATCTCTCAGTTACAAGCTGAGAGTCTGGTCAAAAGGGGGCCTGTTAGAAAAGAGACAACAGTCCCCAAATGGAGTCATTTGTGCTAAGTCCACATCACCAAACCAATACTTAGTATCTCACCTAATGGCAGTTTCAGCCTCTCCCAGGAATTTAATCTCCAGTCAATCTGGAGTTTTCTGGTTAGCACCAGTGAGGGAATCCACCTGATAGCCCCCTTTTGTCCCCCCATAGGTAGGTTACCTAAGCCTGAAATAACCCACTCTTTCCCCACTTCTGCCTATAAAAGACTTCATTTGTACAACTCCTCAGAGTGCCTTTCTGCTTGCTAGATAGAATACTGCCCAATTCATGAATCACTCAATAAAGCCAATAAGATATTAAACTTTTACTCAGTTGAATTTGTGTTATTTAACACCAGACAAGCCTGGAGGAGGCGGGACTGACCATACAGAGCAGAGATAAGCCATCCCAGAAGAGGCCATTCTCATCAGCCTGCAGTCCTGCCAAGATCAGCAGATCCCCACCAAGACCGGAAGAACCACCCAGCTAAGCCCAATTTGAATTACTGACTCACAGAATTGTGAGTTAAATATAGTTTGTTCTGAGCCACTGTCTTAGAGTAGTTTGTTATGTAGCAAAAGCAAACTAGTAAAAAAGTGGTTTAAGGCGATTTTTTAGGGCAATGACAGGACTTATACAAGATAATGAAGGGGGATAAATGGTGATGGAAGGAGATGTGACTTTGGATGGTGAGCACACAATACAATATACAGATGATGTATTATAGAATTGTACACTTAAAATCTATATAATTTTATTAACCAATGTCACCCCAATAAATTTAATAAAAATAAAAAGAAACACTCTATCATAAAAAAGGCAATGTATATCTATACACAGGGTGGGGCAAAAGTAGGTTTACAGTTGTTTGTATGGAAAATAATACAAAAATCAACAAATAATACAAGAACAAACTCTGTTTCATGTACTCACAACTGTAAACCTACTTTTGTCCACCCTGTAGTTTTGATCACACAAACATAACAGCTAAGTCAAAGAGAATCAAGTTACTTACTATATGACCACCCAAAATACATCAGCAGGATTTAAAAATATGAATCATGTTGCTCAACCTGCCCAGTGCTTCTGCATCCCCTACAGACATTGCTCTCTGTGGTAGACACCGTACCACTTACCAGAATCTTGGTGGTGTAGGCGCTGTTGATGGCAATGGCATGGACCAGCAGCTCCATGGTCTTGGCGTTGATGGAGCTGGGGTCGGGGATCTCCTTGTAGTGGACATCACCAATGTAGGCCTGCACGACTGTCATGCGATTGGTGGTCAGCGTGCCCGTCTTGTCTGAGCAGATGGCTGTGGCATTGCCCATGGTCTCACAGGCGTCCAGGTGGCGTACCAGGTTATTGTCCTTCATCATTTTCTGGGGGAAGGGCAGATGAAAGGGTGACAATGAAGAGAGGGAGCTGGGGTGCTGGGTTGCCAGGGGTAGCGGGTGAACACGTAGTAAAAGAGGAAGGGCTGCCTCGGTCTGTCCCTTTGCTTTCACACATGCAAAGGACTGTGGTTGCTACAGCTTCTGACCCCTGGGCTCTTCTATGTGTGCCACCCTTTTTCTTCCCTTTTATTAGCTGAGCGATTTAAGAGAGTTGATTGCCCTGGCCAGTGTTGCTCATTTGGTTGGAACATCATCTCACACACTGAAAGGTTGTGGGTTTGATTCCCGGTCAGGGCACATACCCAGGTTATGGGTTGGGTCCCCAGTAGGGGACAGCATGTGGGAGGCAACTCATTGGTGTTTTACTCTCACATTGATGTTCCTCTCTCTCTCTCTCTCTCCCTCTCCCTTCCTATCTCTCTAAAATCAATAAAAGCATGTCCTCGGGCAAGGTTTGAGGAAATAAAAATAAAAGAGTTGATTGATTGACTCTATTAATTTGGATTCTTTATGGAAAAAATAGAGGAAAGTATACATTAAGCTTAGATCCCCTTTGATTGCTTCAAATATTTTTCTCTTACATCCTAATATAAAAAACTATTTTAAAATTTACTATGAATTTTCTCAAATGTAGCGTCTCTCATTGGTGCCAAGTTTTCACTATCACTTTGGTTTCACCAAACGTAAATACATTTTGGAGATATATGTGTTTATAGACATAGGACAATATCTGGACAAATATCAAAATATTACTGCCATTATCTTTGGGTAGTAGAATTATAGGAGATTTTTATTTTTTTCTTTTAAAAAAATTTATAAATTCTACTTTTTCTACAACAAATACACATTGTACCTTGCGTAATAAAAATCATAAATTCCTTTTAAATACAGACACATAAAAAAGGAAAAAGAAAACAAATTAGCCATAATGCTACCACTCATAACTGATACATCTCACACACCAACATCCTGTCTCTTAAAATTTGTAACAAAAGTGAAATTCTACTATACATATTATTATTACTTTTCTAATGTATTCACTTCTCTTTCTCTCTTCCCAGCTTCACACTCCTAGCTTCTTCCAGGTCCTCAAGCAAGTAATGCAAATGAAGTAACCCTGTGGGAACCACCATGCTTCTTGCAGGCCCTCCCGCCATAGTGACCGAAAGGTAGGAGGGACATGAAAAGTTGCCCAGTAAAAGTTGTGAATCAGCTGTAGTTCTTGTCTGGGCCCAGGAATTTATTTCTTTTATTCTTTCTCCTCATTATAACTCTTTATAACAAGGGTAAAAAAGGAGTGCAATCAGAATACCTTCAATAGCAGTTCATGTTACTAAAAAAATGGGTATGGGCGGGATTATATACTATTGCAGTTGCTCTTATTGTAACCTGCGATAATAGTAACAACAAAAGTATGTTGAATGGATGATCAACAGCAATTGGAATTTGCAACACACTTTACAGTCTGCAAAGTTCTTCTGGGCTCCTTTTCTTGCCTGATGTTATAAGAATCCCGTGAAACCTGTGAGGATTCTTGCGATCCATTTCGGCAGTTAAAGAAGCCGCTGCAGAGTGACTTGACCAGGTGCACACATCTAGTGAGGGTTAGAGCTGGGATTTGAGCCCAGCTCTGTTTAACCTCCCAGCCTGGATCATTCCAGTGGGCTGGCACCCATCTGTTCTCGCTGATGAGGGTTCATCTGCTGGGCTTAAAAATGCCCAGGCCTGTGCTGTCCAACACAGTAGCCACAGGTGGCTATTGAGCACTGGAATTGTGGCTGGTCTGACATGAAATGTGCTGTAAGTATAAAATACATATTGAGTTTTGAACACGTAAAATATCTCACTAGTGATTTTTATATTGATTACATGTTGGCTTGATAATAATTTGAACATATGGAGTTAAGTAAATTATGTCATTAGAATAAATTTTTCCTGTTTCTTTTTATTTTCTTTTTAACATGGCTACTAGGAAATTTAAAATCACACCTGCAGCTCACATTAGATTTCTATTAGGCAGCGCTGATCTAAGTGGTCACCTCTTTTCTTTTGATGGTGGCTCCCAGGGGTAAGTCTGGACTCAGAGAGGGGAGCCCGTGCCTTTTCTGGGTTGGGTGCTATGCTAAGTTTATCAAGTGACTGTCTACGTAACATCACCTAAGACAGCTAAAAGCACCGGGTGCCACCGATACAAACTGCAGGTGTGGAGGCCTAAAAATGCCTGCACGTCATTTCCCCAAACCAACTCTGTATAGCAGACCTTCAGGGACACCCCACCCCTTCCCCCTGAGCTCAGATGGCTCTGAGGGTCCTGACTCATGGCTGTGTGAGTCTCCATCTCCAGGACCCTGGCCCTCGGGCATCGTGTGGTGACCTGTTTGGGCCCTGGCTTGTGGGATGGAGTTTCTTCGAGAACCCTAAAACAAGGAGATGATAAGGGCCGTATCCTTTACACAGAGCTGCCACTCTCTGGCACCTGCCTAGCGATCTCTTTTCTGTATGAAATTACATCGGCGAGCCCAGTCCAAATTCCAGCTTGGAAACTGACGCTCGCCGTGCCCTCCGGCGGCTCTGCCAATGGCTCAGAGCAGATGCCTTATTTATAAACACGCTCAGGCCTCCACCTTTGCAGGGACACCCTGGCAACAGGGCCCTGGGAAACAGGAGTGCAGCCCTCCCTCGGAAGTGTGCAAACCACGGGGCCAAGGAAAGAGAATGAGCCCAGGGTGTGAGGCCCTGGGGGTGAGCCAGGCTTGAAGTGCCCTCAAGAGGGCTGGACGCACAGTGCCCACGGGGATACCAGCTGTCTCAGTTCAGGGTTCAGGCTTTGAAGATGGCCACAGGCCTGAGAGCCGGGGTAGGTGGGGCTCTGCCATCAGGGCGGCAAAGAAGGCCCGCCAGCAGCCGGCGCGCGAGGGCCCACCCGCCCTCGTTGAACTGCTTTTAGAATCTATGTTCAGCCCAACTCCTGAGAGGAGGGGCTTTCATAAAGTCGGATGTCCTTTTTGTTTTAAGCTTATTTCTTTCAAACTTTAGGAGGCAGCCTCTGAGATCAGTAGTCATATAAGTACTCCGGCCACGGTGGGGCCTGTGCCTGGGACGGCCGGCCTTCTGCCGCCATTGGTGGGCACCATGGATCTGGGTCTGCACAGTGATGCCTGCAATTTTTCTTTCTTTTTTTTTCTTTTTGGTTGGTTTAAAGTTAAGTTGAGTGTCAATGTTTAAAATAAGGAGAGTTTATATTAAGTCCAGATTTCTGGCTTCTCTTAAAAAAGATGTAAAGCTCTGGCAGCATGGGGCCTGTATCCCCACAAGGTGACATGTGGCTGGGCTGAAAACAGCTGTCCCTTTTGGCAGGGTGTGGCTCCCTGGTTTGCCGCAGCCCCCTGAGGCATGTGAGTTTTGGGTTCCCACTTACATCCCTTCCCTGAGCTTCCAATGTGTTCACTCCCTTCTTCTTAGCTCTTCTCTCAAGTAATGGCCCCTGGCCACCCCCCAAGCCCCCAGCCGGGGCAGCCAATCCCAGCAGCAGCCGGCCCTGCTCTCCTCCTCACCTTCACAGAGTAGGCCAGCGAGATGGTGACGGCCAGAGGGAGCCCCTCGGGCACGGCCACCACCAGCACCGTCACACCAATGATGAAGAACTTGACAAAGTACTGCACGTAGACGGGCGTGCACTCGGGTAGCCATGGCTTCTTGTTCACCACAAAGGTGTCCACGGTGAAGTAGAGCACCAGGATGATCACCGTGATGGCCGACATCACCAGGCCTGCAACACAGCGTGGGAGAGACCGCTGAGGACCTTTCCGGGGGTCTGAGGCCCTGGGAAGTGAGCTGTGGACCAAACCCTTGGCCAAAAGGGCTGTGGGGTTAGGCCAACCCTCGCTCACATCCCAACTCTGCCACTTACTTGCTCTGTGGCCTGGGGCAAGTCCTTGGTCCTCACAGAACCTCAGCCACTCCTTTGGACAATGGGGATGCGTATTTACTTCACATGGTTTTGTAAGAATCAAACGTGATCACTGCATAAAAAGTGCCCAGCCCAGTGCCGACACATAGTAGGTGCTCAGGAATGTGTGCTGAGTGACCACGTGAATAAATAAGAACTGCCTGCCCAGTGCTCTCACACGATAATGATATGCAGTTGGTGACATTTATTTACTCATTCATTCAGGCACTAGAGACACAGTAAAGAGGACAGAGCCCCTGACCTTGGGAAGCTGAGATTCTAGAGGTGAAGGCAGACAAGAAATAAACCGAACGAGATAATTCAGACGCGGATAGCGCTGTGAAGACTCCCGATGCTGAGCCAGATGGTGAGGGGGCTGAGGATACGAAAGCCACCTAACTGTCCACTGACAGATGAATGGATGAAGGAAATGTGGTACGTGCACACGGTGGAACGTTATTCAGCCATAAAAAGAAGGAAGTCCCGCCGTTTGTTGACAACACGGATGGACCTGGAGGACATTCTGCTGAGTGAAATAAGGCAGACAGACAGGCACCTGTATGAGGATCTAAAACAGGCAAACTCAGAGAAGCAGAGAATAGAGGGCGGTTGCGGGGGCTGTGCGGGGAAGGGGACGCAGGCGTTGTTTTTCGGTGGGTGTAATGTTTCCGTTATGCAGAAGGAATACGCCCCAGGGCTCTGCTGTACAGCATGGTGCCTACAGTGGACGAGACTATTGTACACTGCAGAACTGGTTAAGAGGATAGAGCTGTTAAGTGCTTTTACCCCCAAACCAAAAACCATCCTCCCCCGCAAAAAACCAAACTACAGAAGACCACAAGGACAATTTTGGAGATGGTGGATATATTTAGTACTTTGGCTGTAGTGATGGTCTCACAGGTGTATGTCCAAACTTATTAAGGTGTACACGTTGCATGTGTGTTACCTTTTATATGTAAATTATATCTCAATAGAGCTAAAAGGAAAAAAGTGACCTGGGCAGGTGGGAGAGGCTACTTAAGTTAGGTGGCCAGGAAAGACTTCCTGGAGGAGGTGGTATATGAGCAGATAGAGGAACGATGGGAAGCAGCAGCCAGGTGATGACCTGGGTGAAGAGAGTTCCTAGCAGAGGAAACAGGTGGGAGCTTTTTTGAATAATAACACGAACTTGCCCAAGGCCACAGGCCCGGGAGGCACCGCAGAGTTAGCTAACGCAGGTGGCTACCTTCTGGGCTCCCCTGCCATCCTCCTGCCAGTTCCTGTGCCTGTCCCCAGGTGCCACAGGGGCTGTGCAGGTGCCTGGCCAGAGGATGATTGCTCTTGGGTGACTAGAGTCTCCTGGTCAGGAAGTACCTGGGAGTGCACCCCACCCCAACTGGATGGCCATTATCCAATGGCTGCTCTGGGGGTCCAAAACCCCCGCCCCTTTGCTGCAAGGTGGAGCAGACCTGCAGAGGCCCCCCTGCCCCAGAGCGCCCCAGGGAGCAGGTGGAGCCGGGGATTTCTCTGAAACCTCAGCTGTTTGCCTTCTTCCCTGGCCATGTTGTGTCCCTTACCTTTTACGGGTCTCACCTGCGAGCACCCCCTCTCAAAATCTCCAGCCCACCCATCTTCAGCTCTGCTTTCAGGGGGTTCAAGAGGGCAGCAGAGGTGAGATGGGGACCCAGAAGTGCTCGGATCTGAACTCCATTCTCGGCAGAGCCAGAGGGAGAGGGAGATGAGCGAGGACTTTGACAGCCGCGGGGTTGTTCTCCTCGCTTCGCTCCCGGCCCCGCCCCTGTGTCATGCTTCCTGGGAGTCTTCCCAACCGTGGGGATGAAGGAAATCCCTGCACCCATTGTTCCCTACCCCCACCCTCCAGCTGCGGAGCCTCAGAACCTGCAGTGTCCCTGTCTGACAGTCGCCAGGGCGGGAAGCCAAGCTCCCAGCAGCCGGGAGCTGTCACTAGGACCCCGGGTTTAAATATAGACAGCCAAGCCTGTAATTTGCCTTCTTTCTCCACACTGCCGTGCCTATAATTAGAGCCAGGAGACAGCCATGGAGGAGCAAGCAGCCAGGTGGGGAGGCCTTGGTGTTTGCCACGTCCTTACCCAGGAGGGGAGGCCAAGGCCACGTCAGATGGGCAGGGCTCACCTTGCAGCTGGGCTTGACTTCCTGGGCCAGAGGGGCTGTCACCAGCCTTCACCTGCAGCTACCAACTCTGCTGGGAAGCCCAGCTCATTGTGCTGGGGATCCTGGCATTGCCGTCAGCCTCTCTGATCTTTCCTGTGCCCTGCAGCTGGGGTGCTCATTATAGAGTCCAAATGCATCCCTGCCCTCCCCTGCTCAATTCTCTTCCATGGCTCCCACTGTCCTCAGAATAAAACCTGCCCTGCAATCTCCAGGCCCTGCTGCCTCGCCACATCTGCCAAGGGCTAAGCACTCTGTGCATCATCTCCTTCGGTCCTCACAGCAACCTGTGAAGTAGGGACCACTGGGTCTCCCCGCTTCACAGACCAGGAGGCAGGGCTCAGAGCTGGGGGAGTTACTTGCCTGAGTTCTCACAGCCTTCGCTGGACAAGAACACAGGCCGTGTGCCCCCACAGCTCAGGCTTTCAACTTCGCTCTTCTCAGTGCTAACTGAGCACCTACTGCATACGGACTCAGATTAGTTGCTGCGGTGGAGAAGGGTGGGTCTCAAGGACCACCTCATGCAAGCCACCAATTTGCAGATGAGGCCACAGAAGTCCTACTGTGTGCCCTCCTTGCACCCTGCCCACTTACCCGCCTTGCCGATCTGCACAGCCAGCTTGGTGAGCTTGCCCTGGAGCACCGACTTCTCCTTCTTGTGCATGTTGGCCTTCTTCTTGTCGTCAGCGTCGCCGCCCTCAGCACTCTTGAGGGGCTGCATCTCCATGGCGGCTGCCCCATCCTGCTGTTTGGCTGTAGGTGGCAGAGCACGCATGTGTACACAGACACACACACAGACACACAGACAGGCACACACAGGTCAGCCTGCAGGAAGGGGATGTCTGTCCCCACCCTGCCTGCCTGGGGAGTGTGGTGAGGTACCCACTTCCCTGCCCGGGCCCCCGCATGGCCGGCACAGAAGCCCTGTGATGGGGGGTCTGCCTCTTCCAGCCAGAGACACTGGAAGCAGGGCCACTGGCTGCCTAGGACCTGGAATCCAGGACACAGTGGAGAGTGACGTGGCTCCACCCTGGAGTCCCAGCAGGAGTGGGGTGCAGTCTCCTCTGGGCCTTCTCCAAATGGCCTGTGGGCTTTTCCCACATTCAAACAAGACACACAGGCTTGGGCTTTACCATGGGTCCTTGGACCAGCTGTTAGGATATTAAGTAATCACCAGACAGGAGGGACAAAAAAGGGGACTTAACAGGTAAAAGAGAGCGTCCCCATCTATGGGTGCCAAGCCCCCTCCTCATTCAGACCAGGACTGGCTAGTGGGCCTGAGGCCCCACCCCTTATCCCCTAAGGATCTCAAAGAACCAGCTTCAAGTTTTCAGCGAAACGGGCAGAGTAGCTCAAAGGCTGGGGAGAAGCTGGCGTGCAGGTGTCCCATCCTCACCGGGTGACGTCTCCATTTGGCCTGGTACCACGTGAATCATAGCTATACCCCCCAAAGACGTCAGGCACCCATAGTTGCAGCCGCGTCTGCCTCTGGCGTAGCCCTCAGAACCGGTGGGGAGGGGCCGCAGGGACCACAGGACCCGGTTAATACAAAAGGGTTACCTTTGCTCTGGCTGGCGTCCACAGTGCCATCCTGCATTTTACCTACACGACAAAGAATTTTAACAGACAACAGAGAACAGACAACACACATTGGTCATCACAAAGACGCAACAGGGCCACGGACATTCATGTCACAGATGGAGGAAGGGCCAAGCTGACTCCACCCCTCCACACAGGGAGACTGGGGATGCCCAGAGACAAGAGCAGACCTGGCCAGCATGTTGGCTGCAGGGTCTGTTTTGATTCTCTGGGGGCTTGGAGAGAGTCTTTCTGTGGGAACTATTTTGGCCCTAGGCATCTTACAGATTGAACGACAGCCTGGGAGGGTAAAAGGGACCAGGTTTGGCTTGCAGGGAGCAGGAGTGAGAGTTGTCAGGTTCCCAGTGAGTAATCTGATTGGTGCCTTTTGTGGGCTGAGAAGAGGCGAAAGGAGAGAGAGAGAGAGAGAGAGAGAGAGAGAGAGAGAGAGAGAGAGAGAGAGAGAGATATTGATATTGATTCTAGAATGGGACGTGGGGAAGAGTTTGGTGAATGTGTTCCTTAGTTTCTGGCTCCAGGAGAAATACTACTACTCTCTCCTTTTCCTTCTGCAGGGGAGTGAAGCCACGGCATGGACAAGCCCATACCCAGCCCCACCGAGAGTGACCCATGCAAAGAGTAGGCAGGGGCTTCCCGGTGGTGGGCTCTGAGGTACCCCAAGTGTGTCCAGGGGGCTTGGTGGGAGTACCCTGGCTCCCAGGGGAAGCTGCCAAACTTCTTTCCACCTCAGGTCAGGTTGGTGGGCTCCCCCAGGTGTCCCCCACCCCTGGCCCTGCATACCAGGCCTGATGTTGCCTAGTACTGGGGAAAGGGCTGAGTTTGGGGCTCCCCACCTCTTAATCAGGGCTGCCTGGGAGGCCCTCTCCACAGCCAGAGGCTTGTAGGCTGTGTTGGCAGGCGGGAGAGACTGGAGGCTCCTACTTGGTGGCTGAGACACCTGCCTTCACCTGTTGGCACTGCAGAGAGGGACACCCTCTCCCCTGGGCCTGTCCACTGAGCTCACCCAGAACTCTGCATGCAGGCCTCACCACCTCTGGAGGAGTCTGAGGTCAGCCACCCCAGGACATTTGCTGCAAAGGTGATTCCCACAGCTCACGTCTGGAAGAACCCACCATGTGCCAGGTGCATACACGACCTCCATGATGTCCTCTAGTCCTCACCACATTCCTACAAGGGCGCTCCTATATTTACACCCATTTACAGATGAGAAACTGAGGCTCGGAGAGGGAGACGGCCTGCCTGGGTCTCAGTGGGTACACAGAGAGCTGGCCCCAAAGTGCGTGCATGTTTCCACCCAATTGGAGAGAGCACAGCCACCTCCCAGCCCCTCTGAGCCCAGGGGAGGGGCCCTGTGATGGCATTGGGGGGACAGGCTCCCGAAGCCCCTGTCTGACATCAACTAGCTGTGTGGCCCCCACCTCTGTAAAATGGGGATGCAACGTTCACCTCCCGGAACACCTAAAAGTTGCCTTAGTCATAAACACTGGCCCATTCAGCCTTTTGCAGTGTGCAGGTTATCCCCCGTCAGTCTGCCCGCACTCTGCAGGGCACACGGAGGGCTCTCCTCACTCATTTTACAGAGGAGGACACTGAGGCCGGGCAGAGGCAGCCCTCACGGGGAGCATCCTGATGATAGCCCTGGGGCTGCAGGATTAGTTCCACAAACGGTGTCACCACCTCAGCACACCCTCGCGGGGACTCGGGCGGGCGGGGCCAGGAAGGCCACCGCCCTCTCCCAGGAAAGGCAGAGTGCTCTTCCTTCCCACAGCCCACAGCAGCGCCACCCGCCTGGGGTCCCGGGGAGAGGCCCCACCGCTCTGCTGTGAGGTTCTTTCTATGGGCTGAAGAAACGAAATAGCCAAAGGCCTTTCAGAGCAAACAGAAATGAACTTCGACAATTATTTTTATTTTAAAAAATAATTTTACGCACTGGGCTAAAGGGTGCCAGAGGACTCCGCCTCAGTAGTTGCTTTTAGGTGGTACAAAGGGGCCTTGACTTGCTTGCAAATGATCAGAGGCAATAGCCTGTGTGTGCGCCCATTAACCCAGCGGGCAATTTCCTCTTGTATTTCCACAGCGACCATGTGGCCGTAAAAAGAATCACCAAGGCATATATGTGAGGGAGGAAGTTGCGTTCCTAAGGTGTCCCGGAGCAGATGGCCTTGCTTCTCAGGAGTGAAGGACTTACGGGGGGCTGTTCTTGGCTGAACGGGTGCTCACCTGGCCCTGGGACTGTGGCAGGACAGCCAGCTCTGGTCCCACATGGGACCTGGAGGAGGGGCTGTGTGTCAGGGGAGCTGGGATGAAGGACAGGGCCCAGGATGGGGGACTGGGTGGAGACTCGAAGACCTGTCTGCCCCAGATGCCAGGGACTGCCAAGGACATGGGTGTGGAAGCATGTGTGGGAGTTCAGGGAGAGGGGACCCGAATCTCTGGGGAGGCAGCCCACTAACTAGGAGACCTGGGAGATGTCATGTCTTCCCTGCTTCTCCGTTCCTTTCTCCGTGAAATGCAACCATTTCGACCGAGGGAAAGCTTACGAAAAGCACTGCAAAGTGCCCTGTAAATGTCTGGAGTTAAGAGTGTTGCATTATTCATCATGATTATATGAGATGTATTAAATAGTGATTACATTTATAATCATAGGGGAAATAATAAAATAATAATGGCAATCATAAGGCCTCCAAGATGAATGGAATCCAACGGTCTTTCAGTTGGGATGGGGATTGGGAGTGACGGCAGGGGGGATACTGCCGCCGAACTGGCTTTCTATCTCCCAGTCATCCCGATTGGCTCAGAGGACGGAGGGAAAAGGGAGAGTTAATTTTCTCATTCCCTGTGCCTCTTAATATCCTTGTGAGGTTTACAAGACACACTCCGTCGGGAAATCCTGGACCAAGAAGAGGAACGCACACTTTAGAGCTAGCCAGTCCTGGGTTCAAATCCCAGCGCTGCTACTTTCTAGCTCTGTGACCTTGGGCTAGGGTCTTGATCTCCCTGAGCCTCAGTTTCCTCATCTTTAAAGTGGGGATAATAAGCTCTGCAGCATAGGGTTGTCACGAGGAGTAAATTAGATAGCAAGCATAACATGCTTGCAAAGTGCCTAGGTGGTTGAGAAATGTCAGTTCCCCATCTTTCCTGCAGTTTTTCTTGGGAAAATTGGAATTTTCTGCTACAGTTTGGAAGTGAACATGCCCCTTTTTTAGGACCTGGCCAGCCCAGATGCAGGCTCATTGCCCTGGGGGAGGCAGGATACCACATCCTGTATCCTTCTCCCCCAGGCTGTGGGTTTGCCTACATCGGTTCTCCCTGTCATCCCTCACTTCCCCTCCCTGATGCATGGCACCTCCCACACCCCAAGCTGTCTTCCTTTCTCCTCTGTTCCTGAAATAGACCCATACCCAAATTAGCCCTTCTTGGCAAGATGCTGCTTGCAGACGTGTCTTGCCCAGCCCCTGACATCTACGAGGTGCTTCCATCTTTGGTCACTTTGAATCCAGGTGGCTCAGCCAGAGAACTGGGGCAGGATGAGGTCAGACAAAATCTCCACGTTTTCCAGGAGTGGTGAGGAGTAAATGAGACAATGGATGAGAAACCCACAGCCGGGTGCCTGGTGTGCAGCGCTGCTGGGGCTGGCTTCCAGCCTGGGCCCTAACAGCTCTCAGCAGTTCAGGAGCAGCCTGGGTGACTCTCCTGTTACCTAATTTGGGGACAGGGGACATATCTGAGTAACAGAAGCCTCATCGCTCTGAAGATGGGAGGGTACAGACGTAAGAAATCTTCTAAAGGCTTGGAGGCAAGAGCATGGAACTCCTGCCTGTGTGTGAGGAGGTAAGAGGCAGACCAGGTACAGTGGCAGCTCCCTCCCCGAGGGGCCAGTCCGAATGCAGAGACCCAGGACAGACGCTCCAGCACAGGCAACAGCGAGAAACACCAGTCCACATCCGAGGGACAGAACCAGGCCCGAGCCCAAGCGAACCCCCTGCCCATTCGCTCCATGAAAGAGAAGAGGAAGAAATGTCTACCGGTGGCTCAGCCATGCTATGGGGTGGGGCCGAGGAGCTGAAACTTGGCCTGGGACCCCCAGCCTCGAGGTAATTTTAGAGTCGAGGACTGGAGCCTTCACTGGGGACCCAGACACCAGCTGCAGCCCAGGTCCTGACCCCAGGCCTTCTTCCCAAAGCAGGGGCCAGGAACGTACTTAGGAGAGGGCCACACAGCCAGGGGGGCCAAATCTGAAGCCAAGGCCATGTTCCTCTTCAGGGCTCCACTGGGGGGCCCAAAGCCCCACAGGAGCCAGAGCCATTTTGGTGCCGCAAGTGGGCGCGGAGCTGTTCCCCGTGGTGGCTTCTCTCTTAAGCGCCTGCCCCATGTGAGAGGACGACTGTCCCGGAGCTGTCCATGCACATCCCAGATCTGTGCGGTCCAGAACAGGGAGAGGCCAGCCCAGAGTTGGGGTGGGGAGAGACGCCCGTCCGCCCGAGACCGGAGCTTGGCATGGGAGACGTACCATTGACTAGGCTGGTGTTTGCACTATCTGCAGCGTTTGAACCTGCCGCACCATCGGCCGCTGCGGGGTGGGAGGGATGGAAAATGCAGTGTCACAATGGAGAAAAGCAACAATGCAGAACAGCAACAATACAGACATGAACCAACTGGCGGCAAGTAACGTGACTACGGTCTTCCAAGAAAGTCTCCGTTGGAGATCGAGAAACTCAAACTGGGGGGTGGGGGTGAAATGTTCTCATAGAGATGCCACAGAAGTCAGGGGGAAAAAACTCAGACATGGAGGGTCTTTGAAATAAAGCATGGAGGATGGTCAAGGTGGTTAGGCGGATGGCACTGCTCTGTGGTGAAGTCTGGGCCGAGGCACCCGTTGTGCCCAACCAATCAGGCGGGTCCCCAGAGAGGGTTCTATGAGGAGAGGGGTTCTGGCTTCCCATCAGGACCAGAGGGGCCCATGGCACGGAGTCAATTCAAAATATTCAACCACCGGTGCACTGCGGCACTGGCCGTTTGGGTATTGCTATGACTACCGTCACATGTACCGGCAGAACATCTGTCCAGGGCAGTGAGTTAGCAGGATTCATGCCCTTGACTCAGGTCACCACCCATGGCCACCTCCTCCTTCCTAACCAGCACTCCCCACCATTTAAAAGGTGACATCAAACATGTCACATTCTCTGCATGAGACAGAGAAGGTACTAGCGAGTTTTCCTTTATTTAGAAATTAAAAATGATATACTGGGCAAATTCACTTGTGTCATTCTTTCTTGGGGTGGGGGACAGGTTCAGTGGGAAGGAGAGGGAAGAGACTGCTGGGTGAGGTGGATGCGCCGTGGGTGAGGGGCAGCCAGCCAGGCTCTGTGGGGATGGGCAGGGGAGCAGGGTTGTGGGGTCCCGGGGTGACGGGCCTGTGCATGTTTGTGTGGGGCTGAGGCCTGTGTGGAGACAGTGGCGCTGCCATTGGCACTGGCCTGTAGGATGATGCACTGGAGGAGCAAGTAGCAGAATGGGGTACTGGCTTCTCCTGTGGGGCTGGCATCATCCCAGGCACAGCTGAGGGTCTGGTGGGGCTGCCCCTGCAGTCAGGGAGCCTCCTCCAGCTGTGTGCTGGGGTCTGGTGGGGCTGCCCCTGCAGTCAGGGAGCCTCCTCCAGCTGTGTGCTGGGGTCTGGTGGGGCTGCCCCTGCAGTCAGGGAGCCTCCTCCAGCTGTGTGCTGGGGTCTGGTGGGGCTGCCCCTGCAGTCAGGGAGCCTCCTCCAGCTGTGTGCTGGGGTCTGGTGGGGCTCACCCCTGCAGTCAGGGAGCCTCCTCCAGCTGTGTGCTGGGGTCTGGTGGGGCTGCCCCTGCAGTCAGGGAGCCTCCTCCAGCTGTGTGCTGGGGTCTGGTGGGGCTCACCCCTGCAGTCAGGGAGCCTCCACCAGCTGTGTGCTGGGGTCTGGTGGGGCTCACCCCTGCAGTCAGGGAGCCTCCTCCAGCTGTGTGCTGGGGTCTGGTGGGGCTCACCCCTGCAGTCAGGGAGCCTCCTCCAGCTGTGTGCTGGGGTCTAGGGCCCAGGCTCAGTGGTCAACAGCTGCTGCTATTTCTAAAAGCCCCATCTACCCTGGGGGTGTCTTACTGTACCTGGTAGCTGAAGGCCATCCCCCTTCTTCACACCTGTGTGATGATTTTTGAGACATATTAATGAAGGAGAAGCACCCACAGCCTCATCTGTGTGTATGTACACACACACACACACACACACACACACACACACACACACACACATCCCAGCATGCCCAGGGTCATCCAGAAATGGGGACCCACAGCTGTTGGGCTTTAAGGAATGTCCCTGATGGAGGTGACAGGATGGCAGTGCTGAGGACCCCAGCCCAGCTGTGCTGCTCATGGGATGTGAGGGGAGAGGCTGTCCCCCACCTTCCTCTCCCATGTCATCTTCACATCCCACCTCTTCCCTCTACACGGATGCCCTCATCTCACTGGGGTATAAGTACATGGGGGGTGAGAGACCCTGTCCTGTGCTTCGGGGCAGGAGGCCTGTCTTCCTACTGGCATTTTCAAAAACACAGGTCTGGCCTGGAGGAGCTTCTGCCCCTCACCTGGGCCCCAGTGAGGCCAAGGAAATGGGCAAAGGTTGCTGCATCCTGCCCAACTGCCCACATCTGTCTGACTGCCTGCAACCTGGTGCCACAGCAGGTCATAGCGTCTATGTCACTGCACGGACACTGTTCTGACAGGCTCTGGGCCACCTGGCTGGACTCTGTTCTGTTTCACCCTCAGCCCTCCCTTGCTCTCCAGCTATGGATTCCACAGACCATTGTTCCATTGTTCCTACTGTTGGGGCAGCCTTAAACTTAGGGGGCCCCACTAGAAATGGATTTCACCTGTGGGGACAAATAACCATTGACCATGACCCAGGTTTTTGTGCCCGGTTGACCTCTGAGAGCTGGAGGTAGCAGGGCTGCCCCTAAAACTCAGGGACAGGTCACCTGGCATCTCATCTCCTTCCCCTGGACTCCCAAAGGTCTGGGCGTTGGGGACCCTCCTCTGGAGCTTGGGAAGGAGACAAGACAAAAGACTAAAGATGTGAGGGGGCCGTCCTGACAAGTGTGAGCGCTCAGCGAGGAGCCGGCGGTGCCGGGGGAGCGGCCTGGGCTCCTGTGTCTCTGGGCATTGCTCCTGCTCGGAGAGGCATCTGCAGCCCAGCTGCCAGCCTGCTGCTCTGAGGGTCCAGGGAAGGACTCTTGTATCTAGGGGGAGGAGAAGCCAGAACCCAGGGGAGGTGGCAGCGCCAGGGGCCTCTGAGAGGGGCTCAGAGCGGTTGACTTGGGGCCACCTTCCCTAGAAGCATCTCTGCCCACATCTGGGGAGAAGCTATGACGGGTGGATTTGCTGCTCTGCTCAGTGGAGTTGAGGAGAGTGGAGAAATATGCCCAGGTGGGGATTTCTACTTGATACCAGGGCTGCAGATGGGACCAGGTTACACTTGAGGCTGGAGTCTCAGCAAATGCTCAGCATCCTTGGCCTGGCCGGGGGCCGGGGGGAGGAGGGGCTCTGTGACATGACTGGACAAGACAGAGACTGGGACAAGACCCTGGAGATGGAACAGACAGAGCCCTCCTGGCATGAGCAGGGCTTCCAGGATGCAGGAGGTGGCTGTTGGCACAGGGTGTGGACATAAAAGGCACTCAATAACTATTTTGTGGAGTGAACGATTCAACAACAAGACAGTGGCCTTAAGAAATCCTCTCCTGGTCCGCAAGGGGGCTGGGCTTACCTTTCTTGTCCTTCTTCTCTTCCTCCTCACCGCCGGCCCCCAGCAGGGTAAAGATGATGCCAGTCTGAGAGTTCACACCCACCGCGGTCACCACCATCCGTCCAGAGCCCTCCATCACATGGGTCCCTGGGGAAGGGGATGGAAGCCAAGTTACCACTGTATGGCCCGAGTCCCCTCCCCAAAGGAGCAGAAGGAACTCCATCCAGGCTCTGCTGCCGATTTGCCCGCTGGGGTCCTAGGGCACCACCCATAGTTGAGGTGCGCACTATGAATCTTTCAGGATGATTTCACCTTGGGACTGCACTGTGATGGGCCTGGGGCTCAAACACCGCTATACCTGCGTTCTTAGGCCTCCAGACAGCTCAGGCCTACCACCTACCACCCTCTCCTGGACGGTCCGCCCCTTTCACTTCTCTCCCATCCCACAGGCCAAGCAGGCCACTCTCCTGCCTTACTGATCTGTCTAGAACAAGACCTCGTTCTGCCCAATTCTATAACCAGCAAAGAAATGCCAACTACGCCCTTTACAGGGCTGCTTACCATGGGGTCCTCCCTCCCCCCACAAAGACCTGTGAAAGAGTCAGGGCTCTGTGCACTTGGGTGAGAAAACGATGACATCTTTATTTTCACCAATATCTAACTGGAATGTAGCATTTCCCCCATCATGAATGTAGGCAACAAACCCCGGGAGTGTTGGTGGTGCCCCAACACCATGGCACGGTACAAGAGTCACAGGATTTTTTCATGTCACTTGACAGCCTTTGCAGATATCATGATACTCACCCCCCTTTTACAACTAAGGCAGTTATTAAACTGACTGCTGATCTCATTGGGCAGTGGGCTAATGAAGCACACACGCTACTATACCACACATTTTATTACTTGTTTCTTTTTTATCCTCACCCGAGGCTATTTTTTCATTTATCTTTAGATAGAGTGGGAAGGAGGGAAGGAGGTAGAGAGAGAGAGAGAGCACGCAAAACATCGATGTGAGAGACACACATCGATTAGTTGCCTCCCACACGACCCTGACCAGGCCAGGGACTAAACCGCAAATGAGGTCCATACCCCTGACCAGAACTGAACCTGTGACTCTTTGGTCCAAGGGCTGCTGAGCCAAACTGGCCAGGGCTACTCTATTTCCATCTTCTGTCTCCCTTTGTCCTCCAGTGTATTTTGTTCTCTGCACTTCAAAGTGTAATTCTGAGTCGGGGTGGTGCAGCATGACACCAGGCTTCCCCAGGGGGCCATGGTATGAGAAAAGAACCCCTTTCCTAGAATTTTAGATTTTTCAAACTGGGTTGCAAAGGGCCCTGGAAGTTTTTCAGGGGGCAGCAGGAGCAGCCATGGGGGGCAAGGGAGGACTGTGGTCAGAGTGGCTCCATTTTTATTTGTCTTTGGGGTTTCTGTGTCAGCTCTGGTTTGACTAGAGGGTCTGTTGCTACTGTAAGGCAGGCCCCTCCACCGCACAGACCACGGAACTTGTCCAAGACCACCCAGGAAGTCTGCGGCAGAATGAGGATAAAATGCAAAGGTAAACCCACTGCAAAGGTGGCATGTCAATATAATAAAATATTATGCAGCGTTAAAAGGGAAGGGAGTTCTGACACACGCTACCACATGGATCAGCCTAGCGGACACGATTCGAAGGGAAATATGCCAGTCACAGAAAGACAGAGCCTGTCTAGTCCCCTTTACATGAGGTCCCTAAGTAGTCAGATTCAGAGACAGACGCAGGACGGTGGTTGCCAGGGGCTGGGGCTGGGGATGGGGAGACAGTGTTGAATGGGGACAGTTTCAGCTTTACAAGATGCAAAAAGTTCTGGAGATGGATATGGTGATGGTTATACAATAATATGAACGTACTTACTGCCAGGGAACTAATTGTACACTTAGAAATGGTGGAAAGGGTCAATTTTATCTTATGTACATTTTACCTCGAAAAAAAAAATAGGAAAAATATGGGGAAAAAAGGGGAAACCCACTCAAGCTGTGGCCTCACTGAGGAAACAAGGTGACCCCAGCGAGGGCGGCTGGGCCCAGGGCAGGAAATGATCAGCAGCTACGACAGCCCGGGTGTGGCATCAGGACACGCTGGCCCTTTGTCCCCAGGCTGGTATTGCAGACGCATGGCTACTGAGTCCTGCTAGCAGCTGTCAGAACGGATGGGCCGCTCACAAAGAGTCGGCACCTGCGACCGACCGGGCCTGAATGGTGTCACCTGCAGAGGCTCAGGGCACAGTTGGGGGGGTCCCCTTAGTCCTGCCAGTGGCCATTCTATTTAGGAAAGAATAGTTGGGTGCCCATTCTTTCTGATTTAATTTTTACCGCTCTGGGCAGGAAGCTCTTTACCGTGCGGCATAGCTTCTTTCTCCAGCCGAGACCAGTCTGGGCTGCAGCAGCGTCTCGGGCCATCTGCAGGCTCCGCAGTGAGAACTACACTGGGTTTGCAAGACAGGGTCTGAGGGGCCCGATGGCCATGGACACTGGCCCCCGACACCAAACAGCCCCGATGACTTGCTTCTTGAACTCAGGTCTGCTTTCTAGAGTTTTTCCTTCTTTCCCCTCAAGATTCATTGCCACATCTCCCTGAGTTCAGGGTGACTTGTCCCTAATCCTTCTCCTTGTTTCCAATTTGCTTCAGATTTGACGTCAACAAGCTCGTTAGAATTGTACCTAAAATAAGTGTCAAGAAGTTATGAGTCAGGACTCGAAGCACTTTCCTTAAAGCAAGGAATCTATTTCCATTTCCAAGATGTTGCACCCACTCCTTCCCTTCCCATCCCTTCTAGGATCTGAACACTATCTCGAGTGTCTGTGTCTCTGTGAGCATGTGTGTGCGCGTGTGTGTATGTGGTGTGTGTGTGGTGTTCTAGCTGCTTGGCTTCTGGTATCTCAGGATCTTAAAGTGCGGACAGACACGCTCCAGTAAATTCCTTGAAGGCAGTGAAGGTTAGTTTGTCCATCCACAAATGGGTAAACTAAGTTATGAAGGCTCCAAGGGGGGCATGGAACCGAAGCTGAAACAGAGCCCAGGCCCTCGGGCAGCCAGCTGGCTCCTCGCCCGTTCCGGGGCAGGGAATTACGGGGACCACGCATGAGCTCAGACACCGATTCCAGGCCAAGCAGCCGGGCATCCCTGCGGCCTACCTACCCCCTGACAAATAGCGGGAACCAGGGCCCAGAAACGGAACCCTAGACATTATGATAACTTGCTGCTAAAATGCTTTGTTTCACACCAGCTCAGCTTGTGTGTGGGCTGTCAGGAGGGGTCATTAAATATCAGCAGTTTGAGACAGATCAGGAAACTGAGGCCCAGAAAGATCATATGGGGGGTGGGGATGGGGATGGGGTCACTAGATCTTTAAAGGCGAGGGGGAGCACACCTAACTGCGTTGAGTGCAGACTGCAGTGACAGTCCCCGGCACTGCCTTCTGGAGATGCCTGCTCGGTGCCAGGCAGGGTGCCAGGCCCCTCACACCAGGTCTCACACTGGCCTCTGTTCACGGAGGAGGCAGTGGAGGCTCAGGGAGGAGTGGCTTGCCCAGGGTCACCGCTGGTGAGGAGCAGAGCCAGATTTAAACTCTCCTGTCCCAGAGTCTGTCTTCTTTGTCACGCATACCTGTCCCCCCAGGAGACAAGGCCTTCACACCCTGGACTCAAAGGCATTTGTGTTAGAGTCGGCTCCGCCCGGGTGGCACTGGAGACGCTGCCCCCCACCTCCCCAGCTCCAGGTGGGATGGAAAAAGACACAGGGGGCCAAATTCCACCCAAGATAATCAGACCCCAAAATCACCTAATCTAATCGCTCCCATCGCAGCAGGGAGCTGGCGGCTTTGTACTAGGAGGTGGGGGGGGGGGGCAGGGAGGCAGCCTCTGGCCACAACTGGGGACACTGGTGAAGGCACAGCATGCCCCTGCCCAGCCTCTGATGAGCCCAGGTGGTCCTCCAGGCCCCAGCAGCAGATGGGGCATCAACCTCCCCTTCTGGGCCTCCCTCCTCTGTGCCCCAGCTTCAGCTCTGACCCCTGACCCCCAGCTCAGACACCCTCCGAAGCTCCCCCAAATCCACATGCCTGCGTCAGCACCCCCTGTGTCAGACCCTAGCCTTCTTCTGGCCCTTGACCACTGATTCTTGCCCCGGGCCTCTGCCCTGGGCGAGTGCACAGCTCCGAGCCTGTGTGTCCAGTCCCCCGCCCCTCTGCACATACAGCTTAATGCCCGAATGCCCCTCCCCTACCGCTCATCCCAAAAGGCCTCCTCAAGGTTCCTTCTCTCCTAGGACCCTAGGGCCTGTCAGCCCTGTCGCCAGGGGAAGAACTGAGTGCACCCCCTATGCTGTCACACCCCGCCTCCAGGGTCCCCTGCGTGGGCCTGGGCTGTAATGCTGGAACCACAGGCATGAAGTTGAAGGTGGGATGACGGAATCTCTTACAGGAAAACTGCAGGGTCTGGGGTAGGGGCTGCGGCGAGAGCCCTTTGGATGTGGGGGCCAAGCAGGTCCTTGCACTAGGACCTCCCTGTCTGTGGTCCCTTGGGCGCCATCCTGCAGCCCCCACCTCACTTAAGCTCCCAGGGATCCTTCAGAATATACAAGCGTGGTGGGGGGTGGATAGAGCGGGCCCTGGGCTGAGGAGGAGGGGACCGCAAACCAGTCTGGTGCCTGCTTCTGATTTGCTGTGTGACCTGAGGCAAACCCTGTCCTCTCCAGACCTCAGTTTTGTCCTCTGCAAAATGGGGAGGTCTGGTTTAGGTCTCACCTCTCAGTGATAAAGTCTGGGTCCCCTGGGGTCCCTGGAGACAAGGGCCATCCCTGGCTGGGGTTGGGCAGCCTCCATTAACAGGCTACATCTTGGAAAGTTTGGATCTCTGTTTAGATGGGGCCAGCAGAGGCCTGTGCAGACAGACTGACCAATGTGGAGCCTCCTGCCGGGGCCACACTTTTCCTCTGATGGACAGGTGCAGTGGAGTGCCAGCATGCTGGGCTCTGGGCCTGAAGGGAGGGGACCCTGTGGTCCTTGTCCTCCAGGAGCTCACAGTCTAGTTGGGTTTGAGGGGAGCCCACAGACACACAGATCAACAACCGCACAGGACAACAGAGCCAAGGGCCCGGTGGACTGGCAGGG